AGGCGTGGCACTCATGGCACTGGGTGGCGCCCTTGGGCCGGGATTTGGCGCCGGGGCGCCGCGCCACTTTGCGTGGCAGGCGTGGCACAACCTGACATCCACCTTCGTTTCACGTGGCAGGCGTGGCACAAACTCACATCTACTGTCGTTTTGCGTGGCAGGCGTGCCACTTATGGTACTGGGTGGCGCCCTTGGGCCGGGATTTGGCGCCTGGGATTTCTAGCCTGCTTACGCATGTTATGTGCCGGCCTGTCTGTCTTATGGTCGCGCCGGCATGTTGTCTTTTCCGACCTGTTTTCGTCTTCGCATCGTTTGTTCTACTGGCCTGTTTGCGCCTGTTATGTTCTAGCATGTTTGATGGTCGCTCCGGCATGTTTTATTTTCCGATGTGTTTCCTGCTTTTACCGACATGTTTTGTGCGTGGTCGCTCTGGCATGTCTGCTGCATGTTTATCTTCCGGCATGTTTCTTCTTTCCGCGTGGTCGCTACGACAGGCAGGGCCCAGACATGGTCGCTTTCGCCCAACTAGAAGTTGCAGACTAGAAGTTGCAGACAACAGCTCTAGCACGCATACCACTGCAACACAACTACAACTAGTCAGTCAAGGTAAAGATGCGGTCATAGGATCATCTCTTGTTGTTCTGGTCGTTGTAGCCCAAGGTGGAAAGAAACGATCGGTGCAGTGTAATTCATTCTGCTTTGGTGACCTTAGCCCAACATGGAAAGAGGCGGCCGAAGCAGACATTGCAGAGGATAGTGTTACCACCACTACAACCACAATTACAAGTAGTCAGTGAAGTTTTTGCGGACAACATCTCTAGCATGCATACGACTCAACCACAACTACAACGAGTCAGTCAAGTGAAATTGGTCATTTGCGTGCAAAGATGCGGTCCTTCCGGCATGTTTCTTCTTTCCGCGTGCTTCGGCATGTTTGATTTTGGCATGTGTAAGTACTTTCTTATTTCGGCCTGCTGCATTCCACACACACACACACACACACTTGCGGCCAGGTGCTGGTCTTGCTCGTGGTCGACAGGCAGGGCTGAATTGCGCTTCAGCAAGGTTGTGCAGTGTAGACATGACAGATTCTGTTTCTTGCATGCAGACTTTCATCATGTCGTTCTTGTCGTTCTGTTTTGGTCGCTTTGGCCCAACTAGAAGTTGCAGACAACAGCTCTAGCACGCATACCACTACAACACAACTACAACTAGTCAGTCAAGGTAAAGATGCGGTCATAGGATCATCTGTTGTTGCGCTGGTCGTTTTAGTCCAACGTGGAAAGAAACGATCGGTGCAGTGTAATTCATTCTGCTTTGGTGACCTTAGCCCAACGTGGAAAGAGGCGGCCGAAGCAGACATTGCAGAGGATAGTGTTACCACCACTACAACCACAATTACAAGTAGTCAGTGAAGTTTTTGCGGACAACATCTCTAGCATGCATACGACTCAACCACAACTATAACGAGTCAATCAAGTGAAATTGGTCATTTGCGTGCAAAGATGCGGTCCTTCCGGCATGTTTCTTCTTTCCGCGTGCTTCGGCATGTTTGATTTTGGCATGTTTAAGTACTTTCTTCTTTCGGCCTGCTGCATTCCACACACACACACACTTGCGGCCAGGTGCTGGTCTTGCTCGTGGTCGACAGGCAGGGCTCAACTGCGCTTCAGCAACGCTGTGCAGCGCAGACATGACAGATTCTGTTTCTTGCATGCAGACTTTCATCATATCGTTCTTGTCGTTCTGTTTTGGTCGCTTTGGCCCAACTAGAAGTTGCAGACAACAGCTCTAGCACGCATACCACTACAACACAACTACAACTAGACAGTCAAGTTAAAGATGCGGTCATAGGATCATCTGTTGTTGCTCTGGTCGTTTTAGCCCAACGTGGAAAGAAACGATCGGTGCAGTTGACTTCTGCTTTGGTGACCTTAGCCCACCGTGGAAAGAGGCCGCCGAAGCAGACATTGCAGAGGATAGTGTTACCACCGTTACGACCACAATTCCAACTAGTCATTTGCATTTGTTTCGTGAAGCCATGGCGGTGGAAAAACGTGCTAATGGTTGGCGCGCCCGCCGCAAGAAGGACGGCAAGACGTTCAACGGACCGCTGCGAGCGACTGAAGTGGCTGCAAACGAAGATGCGCGGCAAATGGAGGAAGCAGCAGCTGTCTCCAGTGAACGCTTACAAGAAGTTTTGGATATACTATCGGGCTCGCTTTCTGCCCCGGACGTGACCGCTGGACCGTCCGTGACCCAAACTGGTTCCAATTGGCGTGCTCGTGTGAAAATCAGCCGAGCAACTGTCAATGGTCCGACACGGCAGGCCAAAGCAGCTGCCGAAGAGGATGCGCGCTTGCTGCAGCAAGCGCAGCAAATATCGAGCGCGGAGGTGCACAAAGTGGCCGAGCGTTTGCAGAAGGAGGCCGCAGATGTTCGTGGTGTGGCGACTGTTGCCAAACATGGTGTCGGTTGGCGCGCTCGTGTGCAGGGTGCCCAAGCAGCAAACGGCCCTACCAGGTCATCCAAGGCTGCTGCAGATGTCGATGCCAGTCAACTTCAGGCTGCGCTGCAGATTTCTGCCAAAGAGCTACAGTCTGTTGCTCAGCGGCTGCAGCGGGAAGCTGTTGAAGTAGTCGCAAGGAGTAGCCGCGAAGCTCGGTTTGACGACGTCATTTTGACTGAGATGCGTGATGCATTGGGACTGCAGCGGCAGCAGAAGCGAGCCAGACTGCGTGCGAAAAATGTCGCGGATGATTTCGACCCTGAGCTGGCCTCGAAGAGTGTGCAGCTTTTGGTCTCTGCTTTTCAGGATGTGGAAGCATTAGCACCCCGCAGCGAAGGTGCGTGGATGGTGGAATTGGGCTTTCACACTAGACTCGATTATGGCTCTCGGCCCGCATGGACAAGTGGCTTGGAGCGCGGCACGGCGCATGCTGGCTTGAAGAATTTAGGGAACAGCTGCTGGCTCAATGCCGTGTTGCAATGTTTTAGGTGGACTCGCTCGCTGCACAATGCTTTCACTGCTCGGTTGATGGATTGCGAAGAATCGATTCTGGGATCGTTGGTGCAAGATGTTTTGCAGAAGCTTGCAAGCGACGACTGGGACTACGTTGCACCATTTGCTTTGCTCAATCAACTGTATGCAACCTACCAAGGAAGATTTCGACCTGGTGAGAGCGCAGATGCAGCAGAAGCCTGTCGCTTGCTGTTAGACCGGTGTGTCTACGGCAGTGATATTGTACATTTACTGCCTACATCCATTGCACTCGCTCGGCGCGGCGTCACTCTCACGGAGTTGACGCGTGAGCATTTTGCAACGGTTTCTCTGATGTGGCCTGGCGGTGCTTCTGCTGTAAGTGTTGCGGCAGAGTTGCTGGCAGGCCCCATGTGGGGAGGTAAGGAGGGTGGGCCAGGCTGCCCGAGCAGGCAGCCTGGAAAAAGACCGACCAGGTCAAGACTACGACGCAACGCTATTACCCAACAGACAGCATGCTGAACCACTCAACATGCAACCGCTTTTTTTTTTCAGCCTCGACGGTCTGCGCGGCGCAGCCCTGGGTCCGCGAGCGGGTTGGGCCGGGTCGCGCGGGTTAGAGCTGACGTGCGTGAGCAGTGCAGAATCAATTCTGCCACCGAATCTTCAGGAACAGTTACAGATACAGCATCAGTTCGACCTTGCGAGTCAGTTCCCAGCGTCTGTGGCTGAACGGTCCAGGCAGAGACCCTGGGTTTCCTGTGTTTGCTCTGCGTCAAGGTTTGATGCAATCGAGGCACGTGGATGGAGGATTTTTCTGGATTTTTCACTGCAGACCGGATGCAGACTCTTGCGGTATAACAGCTGTCGGAGCACTGGAAAGCATGCATGCAGTCTGCCAGAATGGTATCACTACAGGCAGACTGGATGGAGACTGTTTCTGGATTTTCATCTACTCCTTTTTGGTCTCGGACGTACTTACAAACTGAGAGTTGAGAACAAAGACATCGATTGACGCGCCGTGCGAAGATACATTTGATGCTAAGTCCTCCTGCCGTAACTGCTGAATGCTTTTGGCAACCACAATGCCACCGTTATTCAGCAGTTGCGCCAGGACAAACACTATATGCTCCTGAACACGATGCAAATGTGATCGAAAGAAAAGATGGCGTTCGTCCCAGCTCAGAACAGGTTCTGTGCAAACAGTTGCAGCTATTTGTATGTCACTTGCTGTTTCTGCACTGTCCATGGACAGCTGTTTTGTTGCAATTTCAGCGTGATCGCAACTTCTGATACTACCTGCCAGGTACTGACCTCATCGCGTACATGGTCCACGCCGACACCCGCACTCACACACACACACATACACACACAAACACACACACACACGCACACACACACAGATAAACACACACACACAGACAAACACAAACACACACACACACACGCACACATACACGCCCACGCACACACACACACCCACACACACACACATCATCCAAACGCCAGTCGTGGGCCATCCGTTTTCGTGATGGTCTGCGCTGTACGTTTGCGGACACATAATCAATGGTCACGCATCGATTGCCCTTCGCCGCACTTCCTGGCGTGGGGCATCTTTGATCGTGGCCGCACACCACACACACATACTCGCACACACACACGCACACCCACACACCTCACCCACAAACACAACTCATCCGTACACAACTTACTCACACATACTCGTCCACACATAACTTACTCCACACCAATGAATCACCATCTCTTTTCTCTTTCTTGCTTACCCCATGCCGTCTTTGCCTTTCTTTTGTTGCTTGTTGGAAGAAGTTGACTTGTGGGGTTATCCGGTCCTTTAATCATTATTATTATTGTTTTTATTATTATGTATCTGCATGTATTTTGGTAACGGAAGGTAGCGATCAGCATAGCATGGCAATATAATCTAATATATCAGGATTGCAAACCCTCGGACATTCAAATTTAGCACTCTCTGCCAGGCTCTTGGGCCTAAGTCGATGTCTTAGGTGCTTGCCATGGCTGGACTCAAATCGAAGCGGCCTGACGGAGTGGAAGTGGAAGTCCAAAGTGGATCTTTTGGAACACGAATCGCACAACACAAAGCCGAATGTCTCTGAAAAAAATTGAAGACATCTAGAGGATTCTAGAGGCATCTGGGACTGTTCAGGATTGACCTAGTGCCATCTTCAAAAAGGCTACCTGTAAGATCCTACACCGTCCATCCTGTGAATTTGTTCATTGAATCCTACAGCACCTCTTCATGTTTGAAGTCATCGGCAATAAATGGGATTGTATATCAACCCCATATCATTTTTAATGTCCCCAAATCATGTTATCTTTTTTTTACTCTTGTCGTTTTCACAGGTGGTGGGTTCTGAATACTAGAAATGTAAATTTTCCAGCTTTCTGTGGGTGTGAAAGCATCCTTGGTCGAAAGTCAAAAAATGTTATTGTTTCTTTTTTATTTCCTTTCATTGCCTTTCATTTTGCGTTCATTTCCCTTAGTGCTTCTTTCATGTTGCATTCATTTCCTTTCATGTTGCATTCATTGTCGTTAACTTCCTTTTATATTGCTTTCATATTGCATGCATGTCCTTTCATGTTCCTTTCATGTTCTATTCAGTTCCTTTCATGTTGTATTTGTTTCCTTTCATGTTCCATCCATTTAGGATTCATTTCCTTTCATTTTCCTTCGCTATGTATCAAACATACAGGTCTTCGAAAGGTGATATGCTCAAACCGGTCAAGTGGGTATCCGCCCAAACGCTTGCGTTTTCCTCCTGTTTCGTTCTCGTTTTGCTATCGATTCGGAGACCAGTGCAGGTTGCCATCTTCAGGGTTCATGAACATGTACAGGTATACGGTATACGGCATAAGCTCGTTATCGTTTTTATTCTTGTCGTTTTCTGGGCGGTGATGCATTGGTAGTGCTAAGGGGCAAGGCAAGCCAAGCCAGAATGAAAGGCCCGGTGTTATTATACTATCCCAGGTGGCATACCGTGTTCCGAGTTAGCAATCCTTGCCCTTTTCATGCTTTCAACTTTCATTCAGAACATTCATGTTTATTTATTGTTTATTTAGTGTTTATTTATTGTTTATTTCGTATGTTGCAATCGACAGTCATCTTCCAAGTAATTGCAAACCGATCGCCTGCAATATTTTGGCCATGCTTTTCGCAAAGTTGCAGGACATCTTCTGCCCAAGGATTCGTCGGGTCCTTGCACATGGATGAATCTGGGGAAACAGTCATCAATTGAGCAGTGTCATAATTTTCTATCATCATTCAAAGCAGAATACCTTTGCGTAAACTGTCTACAGCATTCAAAACATCGATTGGACATTGGACTCACCAGACCTCCATCCATGCTCATCCATTGATCAGCAGTCATCCCTTGAGACTGGTGCATATTCATCCATGCTTTCATTGTGATTTTGGTAGTCATAGCCGTCATAGCTGTGGCAATACAAGTTTCATGAACATGGGACTGCTCCTTGGTCACCATCATACACAAAATAGCGAACATGAAAACAAGATTGTCATGCTCACTGATCCTCGCTGTCATTGCACACATGCTGAGAACCGTGCCAAAGGAAGAGATGCTGCCTCTTCAAAGCGTTCCACTAACTTCTCTGCTGTAAGCGGCTGTGCCGCCAGAAGCTTGGCATGATTTTGCCTGTGGAAATATCAAATATGTGAACCCTTGGCGATTTGCTGCTTCATGGTTCTTGAATGTTCTTGACATTTAAAAGGAGGCGGTATTGATCTGTCTTGACGCCTTTACAGTTGGGCTTGACCAAGTAGACCAGGACCTGTGCAGTTCGTTGCAAGTCTATCCAAGTCATTGCAGGTCAGAGTCCAGGGTGGCACTGCATAGCTTGTCCGCTTGTCCATTCTGATAGTTTTCTGATGTTTTGTGACTTGTGTATTACACTGCTGCATATTTATGTTATGATTTCTTTGAACTTTATTTGAAATTCCTCGAACTTCTTTTGCATGTCTTTTGCATGAGGGGAGGGCGCAGCAGCTGAAAATGGAGGCGACGCTGTGGACACTGAAGGTGCACCAGTCTGCCTCCAATCATGGTAGACTTCTCCAGACTACTGCAGACTGGTCCAGACTGGTAAAAAAAAGAAAAAAGATTGAACATATGGAAGCAATCGAAGCAACATCAAGAAATCACGAAGGAAGAGAAGACAAGGATTTCTTCTCCAATCCAAGTTTGAATGCGTCTCGAAAGGCCATTCTGAACATTCCTCACTCAAAGAGCATCTTAGAGCTCTAAGATCAAGGCCACTTTTCATTGTGTGATGACGCATGAGGACTTCCTGCACATCATCCAAACATCTTTGCCGTGGACTTAACAAATGTAAGCCATCACGGCTCCAAAACAAGGAAAAAAAAATGCACGTAGTATAGATCTCCTGGCGCATTTTGCCAACTTGCAGCACCTCCGCTTGGAAGTGAAGGACCACCGGAATACGAGTAAGGCCTCAGGAGACAAGTCTAGCCCTTGCACTCAACACATCTGTAGCATCTGCTACTAGCCGAGAGTCTGCTTAAAAGGTGCATCCTGAAGAGCAAGATTTCAAGAAGAAAAGATAGTCTTACAAAATCTCTGAAACTCGGGGACTTGGAACCCTGCAGAGCAGACCCTTAAAAAAGTAGCAGCAACAGATTGCAGAACTCCCATGAAGTAGGTTCAATGCACCATGCGATTGGCAGAATGGATTTCCATCGAAATTAACGCGGGAATCATTATGATTTTGGTAATTAGCAAAAACACCTTCTTGGAACCTTCCGAACCTTGGGCAACCCATCTTGGAACGCTTACCTGCAAGCCTGCCTTGAAAATTTTGACTGAAGCACGTGGGGGTCTGGTGCTGCCACCAGAGACTGGGGCAGCGCTACTACCTGTGTGAACCTAGCCTTGCGACCCAACAGGAGTAAGGGTTCACATTCGAGGGTTCCAGTGTTTCGTTCTGGTTTCGCGTGCACTGCATCCATGAAATGAAATTAACGATATAGAGTTGGCTGATGCCACTGGGTCCCTCCAAGTTGGGTCTGCAAAAAGATGCAGAAAGCAACCATTGTTTCAGACTCAAAATTGTGTCCAAGTGCTGTGTTGCAAGGTGAGTAAGTGCAGAACCCTATTTCTTCATGCGAACTACCTGTGGACGCCAACAAGACAGGCATCGCAATCACTGCAACGATGATTGCAGTCATGGCTGAAGCATCCTCACCTTGATATGGAGGGTCACTTGGATAGGACATGTGAGGCCTGGGCCAACAAATCCGCCGGTCGTCAATCGTCCAGTTGGCTGCCATGCTTACAATATCTTTCAATGTTTCCTCCTGTATTTTTACCCAAACACGGTCCATCTCCTCCCTGGTGAAACTCTCAGCAACGGACCCTGCATGTGGAGCCCAATAGTTCTGGCAGCACAAACATATCTACCGTGCAAAGCTATCACCTAAAAACCAGCAATTCAAGCAAGTCAACAAAAGACAAAGGCAGAAATTGACTGCACCTCCTGTTCAGGATATGTGTAGCTATAGGCATCATGGGACATCCAGCCTGGCAATTCCAAACCCACTGATCTTCTTCTGCTTACCAGTGCGGTCACTGGGTCAATGTCTCTGTGCAATATTTGCCAGACCTTGTAGCATCCAAGATCTATATACACGCTGGTGGAGATAAACAAATCAGCTGCCTAGAAGGCCTAGCCATCAACTTCCTTATGTTTCCTTCATTCTTGGGGCCGGACCATTGCCAACAGCAGCCTGGCTATTGTATTGGGTTGGCAAAGGGGATCCTTTCTTCCATCATACGAATCCCACGGTCAAAGAACCTGTCCTGGGTCTGGAAAACTTCCGCATCCGGGTGCCAACACACCTCCACAAGACATACTCTGGCACTGTCGCCAAACGCAAGGAGGCAGGGGGAGGCAGGGCCCGTCACAGTGCCAGCTTCAACACAAACAATTGTCACATGTCAAGTTTAAGGATTCACCTAAGTGGACTAAGGCCCAAGTCAAGAGCACCAAATGATTTGTCATGAATCCATGAACAATGTGTTAGCTGGGCGCAGGTAGAAACATTTAAATTCAAGAAAATGGAAGTTTATAGGAGCTCGTTCTTTCCCCAGATTGCTGGCAAGCTGTAGAGTAGTTTACTACAGAGGTTCTTTCTTTTCATAGATCAGGTCTGTTTACTACAGAGGTTCTTTCTTTTCATAGATCAGGTCTTCGGTGGCGAACTTTTCAGCATCATGCTCTACAGGGTGCTGTGCAAGGTGTTGTCCAGAGCGCGGCGGCAAAGTCTGGCAAAGGTGCTGTGCAGGCTGCTGTGCAGGGTGCTTTGCAGGGTGCTGTCCACTACTGTACTTACGCAGGCATTTCCGAGAACAATTCACACGGCATTAAAAAAAAAACGTGTCTCTGAAACCTTTTTTTTGTCTGGGGTCTATGCCTGTGTAATTTTGAACACCCTGCTCCCTGTGAAGTAAAACTTTCCCAAAACTCTCAGCATCTCTCAGAAAATTGCACAGAGCTGGCCCAGTGGACTCAGTTTGCCTCCTAGCAATTCTATGAGATTGTGCTCCTTTGTGGTCCACATTACTGGTGTGCAGGACCCTTGACTTCTGTTTTGGAGAGAGCAACAATGAAGCAAGGCCCTGAGAAGTAAGTTACAGCCAGTAGGTTAGGGGGATTGGGGATGCACCAGTGGGAAGCATGCTGTCAGATATCTCTTGAAGCGGCGGCAAACACTGGCCAAAGGAAGAATGAGCAAAAGGAACCTCAGGTTATCCGATATACTAGTGGTATGTCGTGGTCAAAATCAAACTCTACACAAAATACGATCATGGTCCCATAGAGTTCCATAGAGTCCCATGGTGTTTAAGACAAGAATCATGATGCTTGTATCATCTTGTATCTCTCTGCACGTGCCTCCTGCGCAATATCCGGCCTGGGCGATCTGTCAATGAGTGACAGAGAAATCGGAACAACGTATATATGGCACTAGTATCACTAGTACAGCACTGTCAGATCTTGTCTTCATTCTCTTCTTGGTTGACACCCTGCAAACTGAGACTTTCACTTTACATGAGGAGAATCCAAGTTTCCTGTCCAGAATTCACTGGAACGAATAGATTGTTCTTCTGATTTGCATGAGACAGAAAGGTTTTAATGAATAATGTCCACTGGCAGCAGCTCACATACCGAATCCACAACAAGCATTGAACATTTGAAAAGGAAAACAATCTGTGATCGACTTGAACCACAGTGAAACAAAGCCCAAGCACCTTCTGCAGCATGGTGGCTTTTCCTTACACACTTTTGAAGTCAGTCATTGTGCAATTTCCAGAATAGTCTCATTCAAAGGCATCTACCCGAATCTACCCAGTTTTTTCAATGCTCGTGCTAGGTTTGCCACCTGGACTTTCGTTTCTTGCCTTTCTTTGACCTGTGAGGTTCAGATCTGCAAAACATCGAGTCCCATGGCTTGCTTGGCCAAGCCACGATGGCAGGGTAAAATCTTCGCTCTCCAATTTCAGCGCCTGGAAGCACTGACGAAGTGATTCTGTACAGATTCAATACGGAAAACACACAATTGACTGCCCGGCAAAGGCCCAGCAATTGCCCAGCAATGGCCCAGCAATGGCCCAGCAATGCCACAAAGCAGCAAGCTGGACGAGCAAAACTCAGTCCCATGGAGAAGATTAATGAAGCAGAACCAAGCAGAGCTTGGCCAATTCTTTTCAAATACTAAGGGCTAAGTCTGCTAAGTCTGCTGAGTCTGCTGAGTTGGACTTGCACGCAATTGCCCGCCTGCTCCTCCACTCTCTCCGGCAATTTGTCCTCCGCCCATCGTAGCTTGATGTAAGCTCGCCTTCAAGGGACACTTCCCTGCATTCCAAATATTCCAGTAGTTTCCGATGCATGAAAATATCATATTATATAATATCAATATCAATATTATATATATATTATTCTGGCCAGAATTGCTCATGTTTTCTCACTCCCCCCAAACTGAGCTGCCAACTCTATAAAACGCTTGTAGGCGTCAGGAGAACTGCCCTGAAGAAGTAGAGCTCAACAAGCTACTTATAGAGCTGATAGCGTGTTGACCATTGGAAATGAATCACCAAATACAAAGAACTTCCGGTGTCAGCTGCGGTGTCAGCTGCTTGCCTGCTTTACTCGCTCCTTCTCTGGCAGCCGAGAAAGAAAGCAGCGTACAGCTGAGGCGTTGCCACCACCATTGCACTCATCAAGCGCCTCCGAAGCAGAGCCGTCAGACTTGATATCACTTGACTACTGCATCTATCTCCATCTACCACTGAATAACGGGAACATGGATGTAGTCTGATTAGTCTGTAGACGAGATTCCTGTGACAACAATAACATCGCCAGCAACGTAGCAACCAGAAGCACGGAACAAAAATGCAGTGGGGTGTTCAAACGAGGATGATCTTGGCCCCTGAGATGAAAGTCCTTTGCTAGTGAGGAAACAGTCTTTGATTCTCATCACCACTGGCCTTCACCTCGTCCATTGTCCAGATGCTCATCTGAACACTCTTGCAGCGGTGAGAGAAGCCTTGATGGGCTGATTTGCAGTCATGGCAAACGAACCTTAGCACATCTTAGCACGCAAAGGTCTCATCTCTTCAGACCTTTCCCAGGCAAGCCTCAACAGCCTCAACTACTGTGAAGCTTAATGGTCCAACATGGTCCAACATGGTCCAACTATCCCACTAGTGACACTAGTGGCCAACTCATCTTGAACTATTGAACTTTATTGAACCAAGTCGCGTTTTGAATGTCGTACAAACTGCACCAAAGCCCACACTTTCCTCTTTCAAGCAGTTTGGGCATACCTTCCAAGAATCATTTCCCAGCCCGGCTCAATCCACACACTGTTCACACAAAACGCCACAAAGCAAAATGCAAAGATGCGCACCCGATTCTCTGGCAAACGCCTTATTCTTTGCAGCTCTTTAGCTGTGGCCTCTGCAGAAGAGCTTCTGACAATTTCGCAATGCTTCTCACATCTTAAAGAAATTGTAGCGTCGTAGCACCAAAATCGTGTCTTCCAATCGGCATTCCAGGGTTCTTTGCAACAGCAAGTCCAAGATAGTCAAAGTCAAATTTAATTCAAGCATGGCATTGAAGACACAGACCCAGCCAGGTCATGTGTTCAGCAACAGCAAAGAAAATAGCATTGAATCATATTGAATCCCATTGAGAAGTCAGTTCTGTGATCAAGCTTGACTACAGGATCCATGTCAAGAGAGACAGCGCAGCGCAGCATTCCATCCTTGTCAGTTTCTGCTGGCATACTCGGGACCTCAAACTGGTGAGACAGCTTGAGACAGCCTGAGAGCATTGACGCTCAAAGTGAATCCTGGTAAGGCAGACAGATCCGAGGACTGGACAACTCCTTTCAAACACGGAGCAGTTCTGTTTGCTTTTTGTGTTACTTTTCCATAGAACAGCCTCAACTTCTGAATGTGTTTGTTTTCCATTGATTGGCTGCAAATTCTGGCTACTAAAGTCAAAGCCAGTGCAAATAGAAACCGATAGTAATATTGCCTGACGATCTGTGTTTTCCAAATTTGATCACAAGAACTAACAAGCATATCTTGGGCCGCGCAGTCAGTCATTCGAGCTTGCGAAAATCAAAACATACGACTTATATCGACTTCTACGATGACATTTGTAATATATGTATACATCTGTGACAGATTTCGCAGAGATCTTCTCTAACCCTCGGCAAATTCGGTCAAGGCCTGTGACTCCAGCTTTTCGGCTGATGCGAAGTGTTGGCTTTGAGGCTTTCACCTGTCTTTGGCCTTCATCTATATCTTACTCATCTCTTAATCTAAACTTCCATGCAAGGCCTGACTTCGATTGGCGCCTGAATTACATGCACAAACTGCACACCCAGCAGCTGTCTTGATAGTCTTGAAGATAAACAAATGCAACTGCCAAACAGTGTCAAGACCATCCTACCAAGTCAGGAATCACTGTTACTATGTTCGATGGCCAGCATTTGCTAGCAAGGAGTATGTACAGCTCTGCGAAAGTATCGCCTTCGATCACAACTGCCACGGTTGCCTGCAGGAAGAATATGTAAGAGTTTTTGGCCCAATGTTTTTAGCCTTCATCGTAAAGGGGGGCGTGTGTTGCAGCGGGATCTAGTCGCGATTTGAACCAACAAAAGTATCGAAACACCACCTTGACATTGCAGCGCGATTGACTAGACTTGCTTGGTTTAATCAGGCGACAGTTCGCACCAGCAACTGGTCTGGTGTGTGAAGCCCATCCACTTCTGTAACAGGGAAAATGGATGAAAATTGTAGTCTTTTTTTGCTCTTGTTTGCTCTTTTTGGACCTTTTTGGTGTTTGTTTTTCGACTCCCGTCTGGCTGCTTTCTTGTCTGCCTTTTCGCTTTTCGTCTTTTATCGTTTCTACTCGTGTCTTGCTTTTCGTTTTTTTTGCTTCTTCGCTTTTCTGAATTTTCACCTTTCAGCTTTGACCGCTTGTGTTTTTCTTGCTTTTTCCGATTTTGCTTTTTATGTTTCTTCGCCTCCCACCCTCCCACTCAACCCCCTTCCAGATGCCAACAAAAAAAAGCAACCAATACCACAGGAAGGCAACAAGAGCAACAACCGAGAACCAACCTTCACCACCGCCACCACCACCACCACTGCAACAAACAAACTCTCGTTCAAAGCAAAGCTCCACACAGGCAAACAACTACCCAAAAAATATTGCTCCCATGCCACATTTCCTTCACAGTAGAGGCGGAAAACATGGCTCCCGTCAAAGGTCTTATTGGTGTGGTTGACCTCTCCCTGTATTGAATGGTTCTTGCACAAGTGCAGCCCTGAGCAACAGCAATAGCAGCAACAGTTGCCCATCATGCCCATCATAGTCAATACATATGTATATATATATATTGTTGATTGATTTCAAATCCGGAAAAAAAAAGCAAGGATCAATCTGGGGACAATTTGGCACCCAAGAGTTCTGGCTGCTGGAGTCACTTCATTGAAAGTACCAGAGATGTCAAACTTCAAGATCTGACTGGATCTCTGGTGTCAGGGAAACAACCAAAGACAGGCACGGTCAAGACAAACATATTCTCCAAAGACTTCCTTAGGACTTATGATACTGATACAAATCTAAGATGAATCTGTGATGTTTGTTGTGCGTTTTGATGCAACGATCACCATGGTCGCCTGCACAGCTGGCATTCCCTTCTTGCTCCGAAGGCTTTTACCTTGCCATGTCGGACTCGTCTTTGGGCACTCCAAATTTCGGTAACTGTCGCTCTAGTAATCAAACTTAGGCTGTCAATAAGATTGCACTTGTACAAACAAGCATTGCGCTAGATCTGGTCCGTCGGTCAAACATATTCAGGTCTCATCACAATCACTTGAATCAACTTGCAATGCACCTTGCAATGCAACGTGCTATGCAACTTGCTGACATTTCAGGTCTCGGAATCCTTGAGGTGCAAGCGGCCAACATGCACGCTCTGTGTGCGAGGACCCGCCCGCATGGAGCAGAGCATGTCCTTATACTTCTTCAGGAGTAAATCTTCAAGATGCACAGTGTGATACACAGTGTTTTTAGCAATTGCAGTGCTTCAACCTTCACTTTTCTATGGTGCCTAAGCGACATAAAGCAGAATTTACATTCATTTTGCCAGGGTCGACAACCATAGGATTCCACTACAATTGCAGCAGGCAATTCAATGACAGTACAAGTAGTACGACTTTTGTGGTCTTCTTGCTTCTCTGCATCTTCATGTTCCTCATTCATTTCCACTGATTTCAAGTCTTGAAGAAATGCTAGGACTGCTAGGATACATTGAAGAGAAGAATCAACTGTGGAATCCATTATAGCTTGCTCTACCAACAGTTGCTTCTCGTCACAAGTCTTGCTGCTAGAGCTCTGTGCCAGCGGAGTTGGAGGTAGTAAGCTTCGACAGCAAATTGCGCACGTTGGCGCATACACACCCTGCAAACAATCTGCAAACTGCAGTTTAAAAGGATTCAAAAGGACTTAAAAGGAGCAAAATTCCTGGTGTCAATTTGTGTCTCAAACTTGTGCGTGAGAATAGGAGCCGCACTGGCTTGGAGCAAATGTGGCAGCACCGCAGCACCCAGGACACATGTACCAAACAGCACACATGGCACACAACCACTAGTACCGGCATGCACCAGCATGCACCAGCATGCAACAGCATGCAACAGCAACCTGTCCAAATTAGCTCTGACAGCTGCACCCTGCAGCATCTCAATGCCGCCAGTGTACCTCAGACACCTACGACAGCAACACTGGCGGCAGCAGAATATAGCAGGACAGCGTCTCCAAATCAGGTGCCCACTCGTATCACTCGTCCTGTTTGAAGCAAGAACTCAATAGCTCAAGTAGCTCAAGCTATCTGCAGCACAAGGCATGGGATACGAGCTTTCTTGGCAAAAAAGAACATAATGCAAGGTATTGATCTGACACAATTTCGCATCACAATCCACAGATTCCGCCTTGCCGCACGGACAATCTATCAATCGAGTGGTTCCGACCTGAACTCTGATCGGTATGATGTGCTTAGACAGTTGGACTGTCACATTTGCAAACGAGGGGCTTCAAAGGAAGCAATGTTCTGAGCCCGCAGATAAGCTTGCGTGCAGTCCAAATGGCATATCCTCAAGATTTAGTGCTGAACTGGTTGAAGCAGTGGCATGTCCTGCTGTGTTGCTTTGGTCAGTCCTTCCACATTGAACGCTACAAGGGGCTTCGAAGTGAGGTGGCAGTGGCACCTTCTCCTGACACACCTTCGCGTTGCAGCAGCGTTGCAGCAGCGTTGCAGCAGCGTTGCAGCAGCGTTGCAGTCTGGTGCGTCACTCTGTGTTTGTTTTGATTGATCTTCTTATCTCTCTTGCAGATTCAGATCTAAGGTGCCAGCCTCACATTCAGGGACTCGGACCATGGCCATTGTGAAGCCCCGAAAATACACACAGTGTTTCTCGTCTCAAAGCTAGCTTTGAAAATTACCAAAACTCATGTAGCACCTCTGTCACAATATCATACAATATCAATCCTTGCATGTGCGGACCAGTTTTTATACAAACAGAGTAGTTGCACTTTTGTTGCCGTTGTGGCAATCTTCCAAATATAGATTTCTGAATGAGCCTGTCATATCATGGTTGTTCTCCAAGCCAGAAAGAGTCAATATATCTGTGAAACACTCGGGCATCCAACATCTTCGCGAAGCATATGGTAGCTGGTGAAGCAATCAAATGCACCAAAGAGCTGAAACGGACCTGCTAGATTTTGACCAAAACCAGGACTAATAGGACTTCCGACTCGTATTTCTGCTTCTTTACCAGGCCTTGGCATGGCAAAAATAAACCCTGAGCGCAAAGGTCTTTCTTTTTTATCTTTTTGCAAGCTCATTCGGCTCCTCGTAAACTGTCAAGATCATCTAACAGCGTCAAATTTGGACAGTTGACTATGTTGACCGGATGTTCTCAATCCCAGACTGGTCTCGGGACTTTGGGTCTAAAGACACCGCAGACAATGGATACTGCGTAAGCGATTCCAAAGCCAATGTCAACCACTCCATGCTGAAAGATGCACGAGGGATCATAAAGCTTTAAGTTTGAAGCTCCAGTAATAGGGCCCATGATTCCCATGGCCACCTGGTAAGAGATTGTCAACGTAGCCAGCACCACCGGAGCTTTTGGAACATCCTTCCAGCGCTTTAGAATTCCATAAAAGAAAGGCGTAGTGATCCAAGCAGTGTTGATATTTGCAAAATTCAAACGCATCTTGGCTGGTCCAACCATGTTGGTGAGGCCTGCAACAATGGGTATCTGAGTAATCATGTACAAGGCAAGATACAACCATGGAAGTTTTTTCTCCTTCGGCACGTAGCACAGGAGCGACAGGAAACCAGGCAAAGCAATGCCCGCACTGAACGCATATGCAAAAGCAAAATTTGCAAATGCATGGTAGTGGCTAAACCAGTGAAGAAGAATGTGCGTAGCAGCTTCGGGCACAAAAAGCCAAGCAAAAAGTCGGTCAATTGGATCACTGCGGTACTTTTCTCGCCAAAGCACCGCTGAGAATACCAAAATGGCTTGAACCACAGAAGTGGTTCGCAAGGCCGGGTGTGCCAGATGTGGGCCATATTCAACACTAAAGTCACTCAAGGCTGGATCATAGAAAAAGTTTCCAATGCAGAAAAGAAAAGGCAAGACCGTGACAATGGCAGCAATCTTCACCATTTTGTACGCATATTCATTGTTGTTTTCCTCCTTGGCTGTTTCTAGAACCTCCGAAGTTGCTTCTTTGGAAACTCGAAATCTCTTTCTTCGGATCCCTGCAAAGGATACAATTGCGATGCTGGAGGCGAACAAACGGCTCTGGGAACTTTGAGTCGAAATCGTTGAAGCCTTGACATCCTTGACATCCTTGACCTTCCTGAGGGCCTTGGTTTGTGCGCTCAGGTGACTCAACCCAGGCTGCACGATCTCCGGGATCAAAAATGCTGCAGCCATCCCGCCACAGCGCCGCGGTTCTACCACCTAACCCTGGTAGCTGAAGCCAGAAACGTCTGAATCAGCCGGATCGAGATCCTGAGATTTCAACGTTGCCAAGGTTTGCCATGACACTTGCACGTGCACTTTTGATGAATCACACGGATTCATAAAATTTCACCCGCACACAAGTTGCATATTGACTCCATTTTTGACCAATTGTTTGAAGTGCCCAGGGATCTGCTCTGCCCTTTTGTTTTCACTCTTCATCTATGCCTCTTCTGCATGTCTTATGTACAGTAAAAATAATAACCAGGTAGGGATTCAACATTGAGATACTTGACATGCTAGATAACATGACTCATATGTTTTAGTTGTTAAAAACTACCTGGGACCAAAACTGCAACCGCACTTGGTGCGAGTCAGCTCAGTTTCTTCAAAAACCATTTCACAACAGGTCCTCCGGATGGGGATGAATCAGCTTCCAAAACCAGTTCGCTGTCCTGAAACAGATCACAATTCAGACAATCGGACATTGGCACACGAAAAAGCACGCACTGTCTTACGATTCCCCGCCTCGAGATAGAATCTATGAATATCAATCACCTTGGCAAGACACAATACAAACTGAACCATTCAAGGAGATGCAGGTTAAATTTGTGCACAAGTTGTTAAGAACGTGTTCAACCGTTCAACTCCAGTGTCGCCAGGTTTCATCACATTTCATGATGTTTCATGACGTCTCGCGATATTTCATGATCGTTGCCAAGTTTGAACAATTTTGAGCAGTTGGCATCTCCGGCGTTTTCTTTACTCTCGCCATCCACCATCTGCCTTTCAGTCTCTTCGTCTTGGCCACCTGTCCAGCATGCGCCAGCCGCGCGAACTTTACAATATTCTGAATGAAACTATCATGAAACAAATCCAAAAAAAACAAATCTATCACGGCCTGAAATCAATGTCTTCGCCCAACCTTTGGTTTGCTTTGCTGGGTTCATGTTCTGAATACGCAGAACAGACTCTGATTCCCAAGCCGGGTCAACCAAAATCTTGGCACCGCCCATTCGGGTGATTTGTTGGATGCCATCGCCAACCGTGTAGGTCTCCGTGAAGCCAAGACCTCCAAGACCAGGTCCATCGAAAGAATATTCCATTTTGATGCTATTCCCATCTTGAAGAAATTCGCGAATGTTTTGATTTTTCCCAGCACCCCAGTCCATGAGTTGGAGCCCTTTCCGGGCCAACCAGGGTAGACCAGTAGCTTTCCAATAACCATCAATATCGCCTTCCGTCTTGTAACAACCCCACTTTCCTGTCAATCCAGAACCCTGGAAGCCAGCATGGCAACGCACGACCTCCAAACGTTTTTTCAACGGAGTTCGCCCACACAATACAGAACACAAAAGCGCACTTGCCGAAACTGCCAATGCTGAAATTGTTGGAGTTGGCACCACTTTGGAGACGAAAGCGGGTGAATTTCGTGTTTGTTGAGATGCACCGAGAAAAACATGATGTGGCGACAATCTCGGTGAAAGCCCGTGCTGGAGCACCACAAAACTGTTTTCTGGCTGCCTGGAAGTCCCACAAGAAGATTTTGCACTCCAAAGCAGCATCAGAACCAGAAAACAAGGGCCCATTGTTTGCACGACATTGCGAGCATTTCCTAGCCTTCCTCGCCTACATACTTTCATGATTTCACAATGTCTTTGTACACCGTTGAGCCTTGATTTCCTCAACAACCATGCAAATGTTTCACTTTTTTGGTCACCAAAAACATGACGATCAAAAAGTTGTTGAATATCTAACACTAATTCGTTAAATTTACTGATCCAGAACCGGCTGAATGTTTTGGTTAGGTTCAGTCTGGCATGGTTGGTTGGCACTATATATAGTTGCAATTAAGGTCATCATCGCTAACAATGACTTGCGAACCCAATGAAATTGATATTGACAAGCACTTAAAGCTTGCAGTATGGCACATTGTTGAAATTGTCAAAAATTCCAATTCTGGCGGTTGCATTTTTTCGAACATCAATTCAACCAGCATACAACCCCAATAGCAAGGTTTTGCCAACACCAAGAGGCCACAAAGAGACCGCGAACGTCACTACCGAGGCACAATTGAAATACCACGGCACCACCGAAACACATCGAAACACCACACCGAGACCACCGAGACGTCACGGAGGCTTTCCGCTTTGCCAAGTCCTGGGTAATCAAATGCTTTACTTGGGTATTCCATCAATCAGCATTGATGCTTTCTGCAATATGTTTGAGGATATACAAGTTTAAATTCCGTGCCACAAGTAGTGCCCGGGCAAGCTGGGGGCGGAAGTTTCAAATTTGAAACGCCTTTCGCTTATAGAGCGGAGCGAGGGCTGCGCTTATAGGTGACAGACAAGACTCATGGGTTTCGCAGCAACAAGTTCTCGGCTTGTCAATCTGATGCTATGCCTTTTGAATGTTGAATTTTGTCTCATTTCATCTGATCTCATCGCATCGCAGTTTCTTTTGGAAATTGTTCATTGCATCCCACTGTCACCGCAGTCTGTATCATCCCACCTCATCTCAATTCATCTCATGTCTTCTCAGTTTTTCACTGCACCTCACCTCATCCCATTTCATGTTTTCTCTCCCTTTCCCAACTCTTCTCAACTTATAACAACTGTTCTCTTCTCTTCTCATGTCATTTGAGTTTTTTGTTTCCTTTCATCTCAGTTTCTTTCAATTTTCTCTAATTTTCACAGCCATTCTCAACCTTTCTCAACTCTCCGCAGCTCATGTCAGTTCATGCTCTTCTCACATTTCCTCAGCTGATCTCAGCTCTTGTCAGCTCGTCACACCTCATGTCAGCTCTTCTCAGCGCGCTCTCAAATCATCTCGGTGCCAAAGCAAACGACCCCTACGTTTTCCATTGGAAAGATTTGACACAGAAGTCTTTACACACAGCAAGTTTTTGCACAGAGAAACTTGCAAACCCAAATTTAGGAAAGTTTTTGCTCACAAAGAAATTTCACACACGGCAAGTTTTCACACAGAAACTTTACATAGAGAATTGTTTTCACGCAGCAAGCTTTCACACAGAGAAAATTTTTACACACTGAAGTTTTTACACCCAAAAGTTTTTACGCAGAGCAGTTTTTGCACAGAGAATCCTTTACACAGCGATGTTTTTACACACAACGAATTTTTACACACAATTTTTTTTACACAGAGAAACTTTTACACAGAGAAATTTCTACACGTTTGTTCAGAACCATCTTTGCGAATTCTGATGTGGAATGCATCGTACGTGCAAAAACACTTCAGCTAAACCTGACAGGAGTAGTTGGATGACCAGAAGTGAGAAACTGTGCGAAGGTAATCTTTCTACGTCCTTGCTAGATGAATCAAATCATTCTGATGCAGCTCGTTCTTCCCCTATTGATCACTAAAATTCCAGATTGCGACAACAGTGCAGAAAAGAAATGAAAAACGAATCGACTGGCCGGTTCTAGGCTTAGCCGGTTGCCATGCACAAGGAAATCAACATGGCAAATTGGAATTGGAAAAGCAGGTACGTCGATCCAGCGTCCCGGATCGATATCACAGAATGTCATAGCCGTCTTCGTTGGCTGCAGAGCTATGACATTCCCTGCAGCCCCCTGCTAAAATGAAAAAACTCGTTTCAGCTGAATTGAATAAATGCAAGTTCACAAAAGTATAAGTTAGAAGTTTTACATCTCTTCAGATGTTTCACACACACGCCCCGCTGCCACGAGGACATTTCTTGCAACAAATGCACGAGGTGTCGAGCTGCTCTTATACGTTCACTGAGGAGGCTGGATCTCTACAAAATTTACTTGCTAGATAAAACCCAAGTAACCACCCACAGGCACTCTGGCCAAGCACTCACTTTTCAATGCGCAGATGAATCCAGGTGGGACCACTGCTGGGTGGCAGCCCAGCAGCAGCCCCACCCCACCAGCCCTCTTGGGCTATGAGCACATGAATTTTCTCAATTCTTCCATAATTCATGCAGATCTCTGCCATCATACCTGAATCGAGAATTTCCTGACACTGGGGCAACACGTGCCTGTCAAAAAACCAGCTAGTAGAAGCTGAAACCAAATCCAAATTTCTTTGGCGGTGGGTGGAGGGAAAAGAAATCTAACCACCAGGAAAGTGCTAGCCAATCCACAAGATAACACTATCCAAGTGCACCTTACACAGGGGAACTATTTCACAGCTCACACTGTCAGGCAACTCAACAAATCATAAACGTGCAATTTCACACAAGGGGCCAACCCACACGCTCACAGTTAGGCTCCACAATCTGCCCACATGAACTAGCCATGTATCAACACCTACAGGGCAAGGTAAATTTAGAGAGGGATCCATTCTTTAGCGCAAGCTCTCAAGAATGCAGTACCTCTACAAAATTTACTTGCTAGATAAAACCCAGGTAACCACCCACAGGCACTCTGGCCAAGCACCCACTTCAATGCGCAGATGAATCCAGGTGGGAGCACTGCTGGGTGGCAGCCCAGCAGCAGCCCCACATCACCAGCCCCTTCGCCAGAATTCATCAAGCACCCCTACTGATAAGGTAGTTACCACTCCGTCAAGAAAAGCCACACCAAGGCTCCTCCAACAACTTTCGAACATTCAGTCGAACGCGTCGACCCAGATCAAAGCCTTCTAGGCAATTCTGGCTGAGGTTGTCGGCCCATTGATTTCGAACACCAGCCACATGCTGGGGATCTAAACAAATGCCTAATCTGCAGCAATGAAAGCCCACGGCCTGCAAAACATAAGACAACGGCACTTGCATAGACAATTTCTTCCGCAAGCTGGCGGCAGTGCACATGTTGTCGCAAAGCTGGTGGAAACGCAGCGTCACACCAGGTGGTGGAACCTGACCTGCTGTCCGTCCAACAAGCATGTAAGATAACACCACCTACGCCATCCGGGCGCTAAAGCTGGCACACTGTCCAATCCACAAGATAACACTATCCAAGTGCACCTTACACAGGGGAACTACTTCACAGCTCACACTGTCAGGTAACTCAACAAATCATAAACGTGCAATTTCACACAAGGGGCCAACCCACACGCTCACAGTTAGGCTCCACCATCTGCCCACATGAACTAGCCATGTATCAACACCTACAGGGCCACAGGGCAAGGTAAATTTAGAGAGGGATCGATTCTTTAGCGCAAGCTCTCAAGAATGCGGTACGTTTCAATGAAATCAAAATGCAGGGAAAGAAATGCAAGCGAATTGGCCGGGATGCTCAGTACAGGTTCAGGGTGTCACCCTTTTTCACTGGGAAGTTGCTTGTGGCATCACGAACGGGCTTGCAGCACATGCCGGAGCTAGCCGTCAATCTCAGAAAGGTATTCCATCTCTAGGTTATGGGCATGTTGGGCAAGAGTCTGTGATGTGGTTGCCAAATGGCTGGCAAGGTGTCGAGCTTCTCAAGGATCGCTGCATTGGAGTCCCAGTCACTAAGGAGAATGTTGTAGAGAACGGTGGCCAGTTGGTGAAACTAACTTGGAACAGGTAATGTGCCAAGGTTGGCAGTGATAGATGCATCGTCTTCCATCTCAGATTCAGGTGGTACTTCTTGAGCTTCAGATGTTTGGTCAGCATTGTCAGACGGTTGCTGGTAGTTGTGCCACGATGAGTTCCACGAAGTGTGTTCGGGAATATTGTAAAATCGACGCCAGTAATTGGCTAGTCGGGTGGCTTGATCCCAGCTGTTGATGTGACCACCATTGTAAGATCTCACATCACCAACAATTCCATTGAAGAAAAATTCCGGTTGGCGGCTCCGTTCTTCTCCCCAGCGGTCATGGTGCCACGACCTCCTTGAAAATGTGAGAGTGAAGCACACGATGCTGTTGCTGGATTTCAGATTGTAACGGATAAGCTTCCCCTTGGGGGTATGATGGAGATCCAGGTGGCAAGGGGACAGGAGGGATCTCTGATGTGTATCCAAATTGAGGAGCACTTGACGGCGTACCACTTGGGTCGAATCCAAGAGGGTGAGTCAGGTCTTGGGGCCAGGATCCCATTGCAGTGGCCGATGATGAAGCATCCTCTGAAGAAGCAGCGCCGCTTCTGGGATGGAGTTGCACGGCAAATTGTCGGCGTTGCATGTTCGTGGGAACGCGAGGAGAGTCAATGCCGGCAGAAACGGAGTCCCTTTTTGTCATGATCACTTCTTAAGCCAATAGTCAAGGATACCATGAAACGAGGAAACAGCAGAGCAGGAGAGGAAACAAAAAGAAAGTACAAATGCGAAAAAACAGGAGTGGGCAAAATGAGTTCAAGAGGGCGGTCTTTTTATCTGCACTGAGTCACGGAAGCATGTTCGGGTTCGAGAGTGCCTCATGGCAACTCAAGCGCATAATATATGGTTGATTAGGATTTTATTTACTCTTAAGGAAACCGGCAGTTTCTCTTCGCACAAAACTTGGGTTGGAGTTTCCCGCCGAAAATCGCAATTCGCTTCAAACCTCCGAAAATAAAACTCAGTCGCCAAATCGTGTCTCGCAAAAATTAAAACATCGCCATCGTAAAACATCGCTTTTCCGAAATAATGCAAAACGACATCAGGTGAACATGTCAGAAATGTGAAGCTCAATCAACGCACACCTTTTTTGACAGCAAGTTGGGACAAATTCCGGATCCCGTTTTCGAAAA